ATTATACTCATTAAAACGTTATTTTCTCATATGCAGTCTATCAGCAGCATTCGTCGATATAACCATATCTTTGTCGTCACATTTCTTTCTTTTTATATGTAGCAGTGAATGCTGGTAGATTTTCGTCAGGTAGATTGTACATAGCAATGAGAGTGCTATTTTCTAAGGATCTTTTTGATCCATCCATGTTTTTTTTTATTTTCTGAAAATAACTCTTTGTTATTCCGTTGCATCTTCGGATTTTTATATCACACTTTCTATTTTCTATCCCTCTTTTACACAGTTATATTACTGCACCTGCTTGACGCTAACGTCCCACATAACTTACACCTTAGACTGCCCTTTATGCTGATAACCACATATTCTCTTTTCTTTCAATTGTCGGGACTTTATTCTTACTTTTGCCAAATCATTTCTTTAATATTCTCTCTCAGTTTTATTCCCTAACCTTTACGATTTTTAAATATATTTTATCTTATTTTTTTATTATTATTTGTGGTTCACATACTTTTTTGACCGGTGTTGTAGTCTATGAATCCTATTGGTGAATGAGCTTTCATCCTGTTGGTAAAAAATTCAATAGCAGCTGATATGACACCATAATAAATGCGCTACTATTTCCCATAAAAGTGTATTTTTATGTTGGGGATCAGATGCAAGGAATTGGGAGCGTGATGAACCAGTTTAAAGCCATAGTCAAGCCCAGCAGTCATTGGAACCAAACACTTGTGTGCTGGAGCACTGTCATTAGGAAGCAAGTTCCCTTTCATTAGTTTTTTTGGCCTCAGCAAGTTGAAATATGACTCTCTATTGATGGTGTGGCCTTTTTTGCAACCCTCACAAAAACTAAGGTCATCACCTTCCCTAAAGATGAAACGACCTTGACCTTCTTTGTGGCAGATTAAGAGAGATTTTTCCCACTGCATGCATTGACGCTTTGTCTCTTGCTCAAAGTGATGAATTCAGCACTGATCCTGGATTAAGAAAAGTTCAAAGAAAACAGCTGGATCTAACATAAACAATGTCAGATTTTCTCGTGGTGTGATCAAGCTGTTGCGCTTTTGATCAGGTGTCAGATGTGGTACCTACTGAACAGAAACCTTATATCTTTATATAAAAATGTTCCTGTAATGAAATGTCTAAATCTACTAAAAACACATAAAACAAAAACAAATAATGAATTACCTCTTCTTACACACTATTCTAAAATATGACAACTAATCAATTTTTGACACCTTCGATAACAAGTTTTATAGACACAAATTTAGTTTCCTGATAGACTCCTCTCTTAGAGTTGTTATGGCTTTCTATTTTTAGAATTTCTCGAAAGTTGTCCTTTCAAAACTATTTTACCACAAAATTTGTCTTGTTTTAGATAAATAATATATGAATATGGCAGTTTTACACGAACTTGTTAACAAACAATGTCGAACTCGCAATAGCTTACTTCTGTATCTAGAACTAACATTTTCCCCTTTCTAGATATGGTACTACATAGAAAATCTAGCAACAAGAATGAAATTATTAAATTCTATTATCAGTACTGCAATAGAATAACATCTCGAATATTTATAGGATTTTATTTAAGAGCACTAAGAATCTACAGCCCACAATATTTACCTGAAGAAGAAATATCCATAGAAAATACCTTAAGAACATCCGATATCAACAATGCTAAGAGAAAAGCAAAAATATGACAATAATAACAAAAACAACAATGACAATAAACTAGATAAAAGAGACGTATAATAGTACCTACTAATTTCTTAACATCTACTATCAAGAAGAATTTATACTTAACAGTATCAAATAATTGCAACCAAATTCAAAACAGTTATGAATATGTTCAGAACTAAATATACCCATAGTAATAATAACCCTGAAGAAGATTTATATAACATAAACTGTCACATTTTCCTTAGAATATTTTGGGGGACATGTAGAAATAAAAAAAAGTATCTTCGAACACAAAAAATGATCTAATACAGAACAATTTATCAAAAGCATTTGTCATACATAAAAATAAGTTCAACCACAATTTCGATCTAAAAAATACCACACGTATTAGAATACATAAATTTAAGCCTTGGAGGTTTTCATATATTTCCTTTCCAAAAATATATACGCTTTTCCCAAGCCATTATGCGTTACCATAAATATTTTAGAAAGTTATAATAAAGCGAGTGAATACATACCTATATTTTAAAATAAAAATGCATATATCTCAAACTAAAATAACATAAATACTAATTATGTTATAAAAATTACATCAACAACAATATAAACACTTTCGTTTATTAGACATTAAATTAAATGTCAAGGCATCCTCTATAATTTAACTTGACTTTAAGTTGACTTGAAATATATTTATAGGCGTCCTTAAATTTAACAATTCTGAAAACTATACGATTAGAACATGTAAATGGTTTGTCATTTAGTTGATTGTGGTTACCTTCTGCATCCTTTACTCCAGAATTTCGTACGAATCATAGGAATTCCTTCATCTACTAGTTTTGGGGGTACCAGTAAGTGTTTGCTTATAATTCTCGGTTTTACTTTTTTAAGGGTGCATATTTTTTAATTTGTTAGTGCTTGTGTGCATGGTTATATATATATATATATATATATATATATATATATATATATATATATATACTAGCAGTAAAATCCGGCGTTGCTCGGGGTTTTATGTAGTTAAATTGATTTGGGGTTTGAATTATTGAACTTACGCGCGTATCCGCAGTTGTTGAGGTCAGTGATAGGCCTGGAATCTCACTGGTAACAAAATCAATGAGATCAAGGTCATCTGGTTGCAATAGGTGGCTGCTGTGTTACTGCTCAGTGCTTATCCGATGACTGCTAACCCTTCATAATCGGTCAAGATTTTTAATTCTTGCAATGTAAAATAGTGGTTGCTTTTTCACTGTAGGACTTGCTTAACATATCGGCGTCGGTGTTCGTCAAAGCTGCTCTACTCCAATTTGCACACGTTCACCTACCCGACCCTACTTAAATACGGCGGGCTTAGTCTTGTTGGAAAGCCCTTGACTTAGTGGTGTATTTCTGTCCATTCCTTTTCTTTTGGCATAAGTCTAGTGTGTCCATTTATTGAACCGAGAGTGATTTGACTTCATTTGCTATGGCAAGATGAAACCCTCCCCCACCGGGAAACTGAGCGGACGAACGCATGTGACTCCACCCGCACACACTCGTTAATTGTCGCGGAGCACGAACAGATGTAATCACAGATGCATGTAGGGGTCAATAGTTGTGTTAAGCGCAATGGTTTGTAAATTGGGAGTACTGGGAGTAGATGTTGTTGTCGGTTTTACTGCGGATGTTACGGTTTTGGGAAGAAACCCAGTAATGAAGATTGCAATGCAGCCTTTTGGCCTTCCGTAAGGTTTGAAGTGTTGTACCGTAGAAGTTACTGGTAGACAGAGCTACAATGAAGCACCCACAGAAATCGGTCTTCATAATAGAAGCTGGTTCAATAAGTAAGCGAAATACTCAGAACTTATTGCCGACTGGCCAGCGCTCAGGTTTCAGCCTATTGAATTGACACTTGAAGTAACTGCAGAGAGTAAACCCTTAACGCTTTCAACTGAAACTGCACAACTCGGCTGACGGACATTGCTGCTGTGCCGCGTACAAAATGTCTTCCGATATGAAGTCTTTTTACTTAGCCCATAAAGCAGGTGGGGTCACTTATTTCTCATCTTAATATTAAGATCGCCAATAATGATCGAAGGGTCGCAGGTTCCTGTAAGAGAGCTCCCTCTGCCATGGCAGCATCCCATTCAGAATCATCCTCTAAAAGGCCACGTTCAAGACAAGCCTCCCGGTTGGTGTTGCACACGACGCTGTCAACAGTGCGAATGGCCTCGAAGCTTGTCAGACCAACAACCTCATGAAGCAGAAGCCGGAGGAAGAAGCACACCTGCTGATTTGATGACACAGTGTATACCCGACCAAAGGCAGGTGTCAAACTTAATGACGGTGAACCCGTCAACGCTCTGGCCAGACATTATGTGACTAAATATTTTTCGCCCAAACGTAGTATGATGGAACTTGTGGATATAGCAAAGTTCGAGTGAACTCGTCATGAAGGTACAACATAAAAAAAGGCTGTTAATGTTGTCTCTTTCGGGTTTTCGGCGATAACTACCGCAGTTCGTACAGTGAAGTAAATCCGCTTTCCGTTTTCTAAGTCCACTGCCAGATGTACGATTGCTGGATCCCTCTGATGAATTGGGAAGTCAAAAACGCGCCAAAAAGCCTCATTGTTGTTGGCGTACCACCCAGCCAAGTACTGCGAAATTTCGTCTCGGCCGTTGTCCCCGCTTAACGCTGCCCTTGTTAACGTATTACATATGTATTTGATAGAGCGGACAGATTTGCAGAACTCAACGTTTATATGAGTATTGAATATTTTTTAGGAGAAGGGGACAGTAGGGGACCACCCAACTGTTGTCAACACGGTGCCCCCCTCCAACTTGCATTGTTCGTCCGCCCCTGGCCGGAGCCCTTCGCCGGCACAAAGGATATCCGTCCCTACCGGTTTGCGTCTCATCAACAAATGTCTTAGGAAGCCCCTAAGAGCACGGGGCGCTGTTTTGATAGCAGGGGCGTGCCTCATAGCTTTCTAGTTAACCTCGTGAAGCATGGCCTGAAGTAGTAGTATGACGTCACTGCGAGCAACTCTTCCCGAGGGCGGCAAAATACCAATCCGGGTTTTCTACAGTTGAAGGACTTTAAGCGTAGAGATCTCCTCAGGCAGCAGAGACCCAATGCGGTGGTATACCTTTGCCTGTACTTTGAAAGTGGGCATCCAACCCTCTTCTCGAACCACCTGAGCCCCAAATGAGGTTATTTGAAAGGAGTTGGTGTATTGCCTAATTGTTTTAAGGAAGTGGTTAGGTAGCACAGACCGGCAGTCTCTCCGGCCCAATTGCGGGCGTTGCAGAATTGGCAAACGCAGGTCATGTCGCCACACGTAGTTAAGTTAATGCCGGGGTCGTAGTTGAAAGCCAAGAAAGATCAAAAAGAGCTACTGGGCTAGTTAATACAACGGGCGGCCGCAAGGCGCTGAATGTCGTCCTCGAGGCGTATGTGGTGAGCTTGGGGAGTTTGAGATAAGCGCACAGCAGCCATGTTTGTAGCAGCCTTTGAAAGTATGTTTGCATTTGTCTTTGGGTCCTGGAGTTTCTGGCAGCAGAAGTCGCTGCAACGTTGCAGGCATTGCGGGTTGCCTGCTGCAGCTCTGTCTCAGACTCCCTCGAGCTAGCCGTTGCAGCAGCATCCCTGGATTGACGGGCGCGCCTCCGGTCAAATGTTTCAGCTGACTTCGACCTAGCAGTAGCAGCAGTATTTCTAGCATTTCGAACAGGTCTATGGAGCGTTGTCTCACCAGCCCCTAACGGTCGCTGTTGCAGCAGCGTTCCTGGATTGATGGGCGTGCCTGAGGGCAGGTGTCTCTACTGCCCTCGTAGAATTTCGTACAGACCAACGGAGTGGTGTCTCAGCAGCCCTAGCGGTCGCTGTTGCAGCAGCGTCCCTGGACTGACGGGCGCGCCTGCGGTCAAGTGACACTATTGCCATTAATTTCGCAGTGGCAGCAGTGTTTCTTACGTTACGAAGAAGACTTTGATGATGACTCTCGGAAGCCTGAGATGCAGAGGCGGTTGCTGCAGCCTGTGCGTTCATTCTCGACCGTTTTGCATTCTTGAGCCTTGATCGCATCGAAGCATGTAGGCAGCTTTCCCAGCAAAGGAGGTAGCACGCTCCTCTTGTAACTTCGTGAGGGCGCTGCGTCGAGTGATCTGTGATAGTCGCATTGCAGTCTGCTCCTGGGACTAGCGGGCCCTTCTTGCCCTCATATCGGACGCTTTTTCAGACCGAAGGCTAAGACATACCCTCCTTTTTGGCGGCATGGGGAAAAGTGATGATAGTAGTGGTTGATTGGGGTTGCTCAATTGCAGGAGTACAAAGTCTAACTTAGTGTCACAAAGCGTGAGCCAGAATCGGGAAGGCAGTTAAAACAGCTGAATAAATTGTTTATGGTAGTTGGAAAAATGTAGTTAAACAGACAAACAGAAAACTCAAACGTAAGAAACAACTTAGGAGAAATGATCAATTGAAGGAGCCTATCGTATCAACCGGATAGCGGCGTAACAGGAACAGAAGTGAGACCTTCGTTCAACAGCTGTACATAACAGGTTCAAATGCAAAATATTACTGGCCAATCAGTTGTGCCAATCAGCGAGCATCCCAGGTTCTTGAACACCAATCAGCGTCCGAATACTGAACTCAGCCAATGAGATACCGCTATGGTCACGCGTGTGTGAATAACAATTAACTGTAGAGTCTGTAGTGTAGACGTCTCAGTTGAACATACGTTTGAATGGTGTATTCGCAAATTCCGATAAAGACATGATTGTATCGACTTCCCTCAGGTATTAGTTGGTCACAAAGGAGCTCACAGGGAAGAAGTTTTTAATGTCACGACTAAAGCCGATAAAGTTAATCAAAATTCCAAGCAAGTTGCGAAAAATATTACCAAATTCAGGTAAACTTGATTTGAATGGGAAGTCAAAAGAGGTATAATTTCATCGATTTTTATCCGATAATTGAAACCGCTACTTAAAACGAAAGTCAGCACCTCAATAGTGTCGGTAAATACTATGCTCAACGGCAATTTTGCTGAAAATTCTTCGCCATTTTCGAAAAATATAACCAAAAATCAGCTAAATTGGACTTGAGTCGGATGTCCCAAAGTGGTCGATTTTGTCGATTTTTTCCAGTAATTTATATCGATATTGAAAATGAATGTCAGCACCTCATAACTATTGATAAAAACAATGATCAACGTAATTTTGGTGGAAATTCTTCGCCATTTGAGAAACATATAGCCAAAAAACAGCTTGACTGGATTTGAATTGAAAGTCAAAAGAGGCATGATGTTATCAATGTTTTCTATAATTGATAGCGATATTGAAGAAAAAGGTCAGCAACTAATAACTGTTGATAAAACTAATGCTCAACAAGATTTTCGTGAAAATTCCTTGCAGTTTGCGAAAAAGAGAGCCAAAAAATCAGCTACCTTGGATATGAATCGGATGTCCCAAAGTGATCGATTTTTTTTCCGATAACTGATATCAATTATCACTGAAAAACTGATTTTTTTAATCAATATTCGACCTCTATCGGTTTTATCGATTTTTCCAAAATCGGAGGAACAATCGAGAATTCCGAAGACGTCAAGTACGAATGCCCTCAATTTCCGATCACTGTGTGAATTTTCATGCTAATCGAACGAATGGTTTGCTCAAGTTGACAAACACAGAATGCCATTTATAGATACAAATCTTTTTCAGATAAATTACGTTTGAATTTTGGGTTGGAAGAGTTTTTTGGGAAATAATGGAATTTTCAAATATATACAAACATATATATATATATATATATATATATATATGTGTGTGTGTGTGTGTGTGTGTGTGTGTTTGTGTGTGAAAAGTGTGTGTATATAAATAATAATCACAACCTTTCATTCACCAACAGGAAATACTCGAACAGCACTACACTTTCAACATACATATAGCAGCAATAAGACAGAAATATCACACCAAAAATAAGTTGGGAAGTATTGAAAAAAGCTCCTGCCTACAGCAACATTACAAAAAATGCCTACTTTGCCTACACGAAAAAGTAGCAATAATATCACGCACACCGCAAAAGAATTTACTAAACAAGAAATCAGAGATAATCTCCAAATGTAGGCATGAGAACAAGTACCTATTATCCGAATTTATACCAAACTGATAAAAAAATAAAAAATAAAAAGAGAAACCACCAACAATCACAATTTAATTCAAGATACCATCACAATAATTACATTTATCGTTATTATCATTGCACCACCATTAGTAATCACTTCTACCACTTTACAATAACTATTAACTGCTAATATTATCATTACCACCAACACCCAACACCATTACTACCACATCACATCTACTATTAACATATAAATCCACTATAATCATTAACATAAATTACTCCCCCAGCTAAATAAGCTACCACAAAAAAAAACTAAAAACAAACATAAATAATTTCCAAATGTAGGCATGAGAATAAATACCTATTACCAGGATTCATACCAAAATAAATAACTAAATAAATATAGAAAATAAAATAAAATAAAACATAAACAATCACTCTTTAGTTCAAGTTAGCACCACAATAATTGCATTTATTGTTTTTATTATTATTCTCCCACCAAAATTACGAATCACAACTACCAATTTACAATAACTATTAACCACTTATATTATCATTGTCACCAACCCCCTTACAACATTACTATGACATCACATCTACTATTATCATATAAACCCGTCATAATTATGACGTAAATTACCCCGTCCCCCAGCATATTTAATACCACCATAAAAATAACCAATAAGGATTACAAACTGAAATTTCTACCACTCACATATACACAGTCATCAAAAAACTAAAAAAACAAGCAAATAACCAGCTTTAAAATAATAAGAAAAGTTTTGTTTTTTTGTAAATTAAAAATAAAAATTTTAGCAATTTTCCACATAATTTTACACAGAATACCTACTATCAGGATTTATATCAAAATAAATTAATACATATAACAAAATAAAACAATGGATAAATCACCTTTTAGTTCAAGCTACCACCACAATAATTACATTTGTTGTTTTTATCATTCTCCCACCACCATTACTAATCACTTCTACCAATTTACAATAACTATTAGCCACTTATATTATCATTTTCTCCAATCCCTTACAACATTACTATCACATTACATTTACTATTATCATATAGACCCGCTATAATTATTAACGTAAACTTCCCTCTCGCCCAGCATATTAAATATCACCATATAAAATAACCAATAAGGATTACAAACCGAAATTTCTACCAGTTACATATACACAGTCATCAAAAACAAACAAATAACCAGCTTTAAAATATAACAAATAAACCCCTATTTTTTAAATTAAAAATAAAAATAGTAATAATTTTTACCTATCATAATTTTACACAAACCCCACCACACGTATATACATACATGCGAGGAAATATTATTCACTGGAAAAATAGAAAAAGGACATGTATACATTCACGAGACATTCACGAGAAATTTTCGCTACACTTCCAATCTTTGAATTTCAACATACAAATGCGTATGTATAGACACAACACCACCCATATACATACATATGTCAAATCCAAAACTGTCCACATATGTTTATATATGTATGAGTCCCGATGGACGACCAAGTGTGTATGTGTGTCTGCGTAACTCATCGGGCGTATGAACATGTATCTATGTTTGCGTTAGCACGATGACATCACGACGGCGATTCCACCCACTCCCATAATAACACTAATACACGCAATCTACATACACCCAAAATTTTTAAAAATTAATCAGTTTGTCTGACGATCGCAAAAGCGTTAAACCCAGGGTCACAAACTCACATCAATCCAACCAAATATATATATATATATATATATATATATTTAAGTAAATACTGTATTTATAATAAACAGTATTAACAACATTTACCGGCCTGAATGTCCGAGAAATTTTCCTAGAAAATATGCGTCCTTCAAGAGGAATCGAACCTGTATCCTATACGGAACCGTCATATAGCCTGACGTGCCTTAACCGATTGGGCCACACAGGGACGTTCGGTTAGCAAGGTCGATTTCACTTTTTTTAAACAAAATTCTGCATAATTTTCTCTCAGTCATTCATATCTGCTCAATGTGTATCCAAATGTAGACAAATGACGTCATACATTATGAAAAGTCCGACAATTATTTAAGACATTTTTTTTATGTTTATACGTTCTTAAATCGGTTAAAGGCACATCAGGCTATATGACGTAAATGATGTAAATGGCGGGGGTGCATATGTGTGTATGTACATAGGTCGATAGGTGTGTGTGTATTCAGAAAGTGAAATATGCAAGTATATTTACAATTTCATGAACAGGGAGCAAATCTCGATGCTATTTCCTCAAATTTTGTTGCCAATCGTCCTGATGTCTTTATTTTTATGAATGAAATATAAAACGGAATAATTTTGATCACAGAACTCTTTGGTTATAAACTTCAACCTCCGGCGAATCCCATGGTGATTCAGCTATTGTAACCACAGTAGAACCTCAAAACATTGTCCGAGTGAATAAAAGAGTTCTTTGAATAGCAACAACATAACGGAACAAAAGAAAAATTTCTGCCATGATTTTGTTATTAACGAATGGCTGTGCACGCATGTCGGCAAGGTAAGGCGACATTATAGATATGCATCTCTCACAGTTATAACTCGATTCTCTATCTACTTTTCTTTCCCATTCTACTACACATCATTTTTTCTCTTTAACTTTCTTTTATCTCTTTTTATTTCTCTTATTCACGATACGTAGTGATACCCCAAAATAAGAAGCACCCTTTGAGTTTCACATTTAACAATGAAAGCTATTGATCTATCTATCGATTTCATCCTCTTTTGCGTTCCATATATATATATATATATATATATATATATATAAACACAATGCCGTTGGTTGGTTTAGAAAGAAGCTGATTTTCATCCTAACTGCACAGATCACCATTCATCATTTAAATCTTCAGATTCCAATATGTCTATATTA